TATGCCCTTGTTTTCCAGCCTTTCAGCCCTTGCTCAGAAAAAAGTTTGTTGATTCTTGTTTTATTTCAGTTCTTCTACCTGCAATATCTTCCTGAGTTCATTATCATCTGTTGAGGTTGTGAGCATGCGTTCTGGCCACCCTTCTCTGAAATGCTCTCCCTGACCAGCCAGCTGGGCCAGCCAAAGACCACCTAAGGCATCCCTCTGTCTCACACAGACTGCCCCAAACTCTAACACTTACTCATACACAGCAACCCCACGCATCGCAATCCCAGTGTAATATCCATACCAGCAACACAGTGTTATACACGTGGAACATTGTTTCAATGGGACCTGCAGGTTCCCAGTGGCACCTGGAACCAGAGGGCTCCCACAGCCTCGGGCTTCACCTATGCATCTGCCATCCTTCCAAGATGAGCCATTGTCTCTGCAGCTGGAAACCCTCAATGGGTAATTTCTTTTTCATGCTCTCTCTTTCCTATTCTTTTCTTTAAACTCCTGAGAAAGAGGAAGCTGGAAACAAATATGGGAACAGATTCTACAGGCCACAGAAAGGACTTTAGGTTTTGGTCCAGTGAGCTGGGAATGGTTCTTGGGCTTCTGGAATGTTCTAGAAGAGTGACAACATCAGACTTATATTTTAAGAGTTGTTCTGCAGCTGTGTAGAGAACAGATTCTAGAGGGGCAAAGGCAGAAGCAGGGAAACTAGTGAGGAGGCCCCGGCAGTAACCCAAGTAAGAGAAGTTGGGGCTTGGACCGGGTGGCAGCCATGGCGGGCCAGTAGAAGCCCAGGGTTTTGTCTTGAGCACCTGGAAGGTGGGATCAGTATACCTGTGGGAGGGGCAGGTGCTGAACTGCCCTTAATAGGGACAGACCCTGGGACCCTCTCGGTGTAACCATCTGACCCAGCAAAACAAACCTTCGCCATCACAGGCTTCAATCTCTTCTTGATACTTGGTGGTTGGAGACAAGGCTCGTGGAAAACCCAGTCTCCTCCCCCTTCTGGAGCCCACTGAGCTGTGCAGCTATTGCATAAGGCCCTCTGGTAGGGGAGGACACCCAGGGGACTGCTCTTCTTACTCCAACAGCCTAATGACGCCTGCTCCGGTCTTTGCAAGAACACCATCTGGAGCAAGTAAACTCAGTTGTCGTGTGTAGGCCTACATCCTCCAATTCAATAGTAGAAGATAGGTTTTAGACTCTAAGATCTGGCTATTTTGAGTAGGTGATGACTTTCATTGTAAACAAATAGCCCAACCCGGCAGCCACCAACCGCAAGACAAGGAATTCTGACCCCATCCCACCATTGTTGTGAAGAATGTCCACTCTATGTCTTTTGAAACAATAGAGCCTGCTGAAATATAAACAGCACGTTTCCCCTTGGATGTGCCTCCTGGTACATCCTCCTCCCCTCCCCCAGGGTCTGCAAATTGAATAGCTTCTACAAGGAGACTGTCCCTCTGAAGTCTGAGGTCAGGGCTGAGCCTGGAGCTCCTGCGTTCTTCCCAGGCAGGACTCTGGCTTTCAGTGAGAAGTGGGAGGGTCTTTCTGGGTCTCTGCATCTCTGAGTTTGGGGAGTGGGCGGATCTTTGAGTGTCTGAGTTTCTGGACATTGTGGCTTGAGGCTTTGTTCTGTCCACTTAGCAGTGACTTAATGGTGAGCTTCAGGGGGGTGATCCATGAGTCCAGTGTCTGTTGTGCTCATGGGTCTAGCATGGGACTGGGCACATTGTAGGTGCTTGGTGAGGCTCCACTTAACAAATACTGTGAACCATTGAGGGGAGAGGGGTTGCTGCACCAGCAGCACAGGAGCCCTGGCACCTGGGTGGCCCAGGTGAGGCTCCAGAAGGCACAGGTGGATTGGGTTGATGACTCCCCAGGGTCCTAGCCTGTGTCCTGGGAAGGGATGGTGGTTTAGAAATACTCTTTGGCCTTAGAAGCTGTCAATGAGTGTGCTGTGGAGGACCAGCCCCAAGCAGGCCTGAATGAGGCTCTTTGTGGAGTGCATGGGAGGCTGGGAGGAGCCTGCAGAGATGGAAGCGAAGTATAGAGGCCCACTCCATCCCGGGTCCAGACTGTTGCTCCTTGACCAGAGGATTGGGAGAAGGGAGGTGTGCCTGACATGTCCAGAGCCTCCTTTGAAGGAGCCAATCTCCTATGAATGCGTGTCTAGGACTCCCTCATCTGGGAATTGACCAGCCAGGCCAAGAGAAGCATGGTAGGGGGCCCTAGGAGTTGTGTACCTACCTTTCTGCCCTCCAAACAGTCAGAAACTTCAGTCCCTCCAAGATGTTGGGAATAAGTCTCGCTTTCATTTGGTGAATATTTAATGAGTAACTACTTTGTGCCAGGCACAAAGCAGACCAAAACTCCTTCTTCTGTGGAGCCCACACTCCACTGGGATGATAAGCCCTCTTTCCTATATTGAGAAGTCTCGTTCAGAGGGGTCTGTGTCTCTCCCTGAAGCCAAGAGGGTGGCTGAGTGGTGTGGACTGGAGCTGGAAAGTCAGGCTGTCAGAAGCATCAGGAACAGCAACTAAGCCAACTGGTTGCAGACTTCCTTAGCTACGGATTTTTTTTTTTTTTTGAAGACTTACCTGGAACCCCCCATGTAAACAGTGTTTGAGCATAACCTTATTTGTTGTCTTCCTATTTGCGGTGTGTACTTATGAAGCCATTTGGTGAAAACAATAAGGCAGTCTTGAATAAGATAACCGCTTGAAATCCAGGGTTATGGGAATCAATCAGAATCATGCCATCGTAGGCATCTAGCACCTTCTCTCATATTGGGGTTTCTTAGCCTCAGCACTACCAACATTTTTGACTAGATATTTCTTCATTGTGGGGCCTGTCCTGTGCATTACACGATGTTTACCACCATCCCTAGTCTTTACCTGCTGGATGCAAGGAGCGACGCTCCCCTCAGGAGTGAAAACCGAAAATGTCTCCAGATACTATCAGGTGTCCCGGGGCTGGGGGGGGGTGTGGTTGTGTGGGAGGCAAAAATCACCCCATTTGAGAACAGCTGCCATCTGTTTTGATCAAATATCAAGGAAATCCTGTTTCACATGGAGAAGAACTTGTATTTATAAGAGTACGTTTTGGGGTATTTTTTGTTTTTTTTGTTTTGTTTTGTTTTGTTTTGTTTTTAAATCAGCTCTCTAGACTCTCCTAGGACTACATTTAATTAAAACGAAGTTTTATTCTAAGGTCTGTACAAAAAAAAATGCAGCAGCCCAAGTTAATGTGTTGGTAGTTTTCAATGTACTAAAATTTGTATGTAACACATTTGTGTGGGTGTGTTGTTTTTACTACAATTTTGAAGAATAAGAAAATCTTCATTTTAAAAACACTCAGACCAAATGTTGGCAGATCCTAAGCCCTCTGGGAGGTAGGTTCAGAGATGCTGGTTTCACACTAGGAAGCAGATGTGGAAAGGCCAGAATCTGGTGACAGGGCAGGGTGGGCCAGAGAACAGGGTCACGGTGCCTCTCTGCTGCCCCAGAGACCCCGAGATGTCATTGGACAACACCTGAAGGTGGCACGGAGGGCATACGGAGGACTGGTGGCCTCTCAGAAGAGAATCCAGAACGGAAGAGAAGAAAAATAGACTGATTGAGGGGGTGAGGCCTCTCACAGTTCTAAGAAAGAGCCCTGCAATCTTGGTGACGCAGGGCCAGGAGGTTAAACCCGGAATAATCATAATGAAAACAATCTGTTTGCACCATTTGAAGCTTCCAGAAATTTTCAGGAGCAAGTCCATGGTGGAGAACCCAAGTGGAAGTGCTGCTGATTGGAACTGAGCAGGCAGTAGTGAGATGAAAGGCTGGGGGACCGGGTCTCTCAGCTCCCAAGGAGGAGGGCACCGGCCACCCTAGGGATGACAGGGTGGGGGCCCGCAGGCTTCAGGAACCACAGCTGGCTTTAATTTCCGGCAAAAATAGTCCTTCTCTGGAATTGGGTTTTTTCTCCCTGCTCCAACACTGGGAGGCAATTTCAGGGCTCGCTCCCAGGAAATCTGTCTCAAATGCGGTGGGACAGTTGACCACAGGCTAGGGCTTACCACCCCTGTGGGAACTGATAATAGAGCAAAATGTGGCAAAGGCCCGAGCAGAGGACCGACGATCCCCACAGACTCTATCCTCAGCTTCTCCTGCAGTTCTCCGAGGGAGACTGACTTGGCCACCAGGACGAACGCATGGTACCCCGGAGCACGGAGGCACCCGTCAGGGTGCTCTGAGCCCCTTTCTCCCCTTTTGCTTCACCACAGTCACTCTGGGGAGTTTAGTTCCTGTGCTATGATTGACCGCTTTCACCATGTGCAGATTTAGGAGCTGATGGAGGCCTGAGAGATCATGTGCTCCAACTCCTGATTTCACAGACGGGGAGTATGAGGCTCAACAGGGTGACTTTTCCAAGGTGAGCCACCCAGGCATCCTGACCATCCGCTCAGGGCTTTCTGACGGCAGAAGGGGACTTGTCTAGAGCCTCTCAGTCTTATCAACCAACCTGGGGAGCAGCTGGGGCATGCGTGAGCACGGTCTGTGCACACCTGCAAGTGTGTCCACCCTAGCACCGCCGAGAGGTCGCGTGTGCTTGTCTGTGTGTGTTTGTAGGATGCGGACTACTGTCTGGGCACTGCATCAAGGGTTGCCATCAGGGTAAGGGCTGGGGGTAGGGGTGTGTCCGTAAACCCTGAGAGTCAGTCCGGTGGGGACTGAGGGAAGACCTGGGAGGTTTTTGGCTGCGGCGCTGCTGTGTTGAGCTTAGGCCAGTTGGAGAAGGCATCCCAGGACAGGAGGCCCGCGCAGGACACTCAGAATGTCAGCTAGGGAAGAGACCCCACAGAAAGACCAGGGCTGGGGGACTGGGAACACAGGAGGTGTGTTTGGGAAAGGCCACATGGTGCGTGTTGACTCGGGGGGCAGGTTTATTTGGGGAATTAATAGTCAGTTGCCAGACATTTACTGAGCACCGGCTGGGTACGGGAGTTGGGCGGGGAGCTAGAGACAGAGTAGAGCTCGCTTGAGTTGGGAGGTGACCAAGAGCTTCTTCCGTTCCTCTCCCAGTGAGCTTACAGAGGCCTGCTTGGTGCCTCACACTGCGGCTTCGAGGAGGATCCAGTCCATGCACTCGAGAATGCCACACTGGGAAGACTTCTGTAGGGGGTGGGGGAACACAAAACGCAGTACAGAGGGCTTTGGGGGTGCTGCCTGGGAGGGGCTCCTGTCTCGTTCGCAGTTCCCTGCCTAATCCTGATTCCTACACACCCACCCCTAGGAGTCCTGCGGCCGAGATTCTGGTGCGCCCCCCACCCCGGGGATTCTCTGAGCTCCCAGAGTATGCATGTGTGTAACCCCTCCGCCCTGGGGCGGATTCTCAGAGACCTCCAGGGAGAACCACTGGCCACCATACAAGCCCAAGTCCTGGTGTGACAGGGGAATGCAGAGCTCAGTCTATCTGGGGGAGAGATTCCCAGGACACTATACTTCGCAATCAGGGACCCAAAGAAAGTCTTCAGGCTTGGCCTGACTCCTCATCCTGGGGGTCCTGCTTTGCCCTTGGGAGCTTGGCAGCTTCTGTGCTCTCCATTGAGAGCTTGCCTCAGTGTCTCTCCCCCCGGGTGACTGGACACCCCCACATTCGGGAAGCACCTTACGGCCTCCTGCGACCTCAGGCCTCTTCTGGCAGAGCCAACTGTGGCTTCCAAGTGCAGAGGAGGTCACCGAGGCTTGGAGAGGGTGAGTGTGGCACCGGAGAGTGGGCTCCCTCCCTCCCTCCCTACAGAGCCCTGCCCTGTACCTCTCCTCCCAGCCCCCAAGCCCTTCCAGCCACTAGGCCACTTCCCTCGGGACATAGGCCACAGTGCCCTGCTCCTACGCAACCAGAGTGGTTTCCAAAACCAACTGTGAAGTCTCCTGAAAGGTGCCGCAGGGCCACCAGCTTCAAGGGTGACTGTGGAGCCCTGCCCAGGAAGCCCTGAGCCGGCACTGCCCTGGCTGGGCCCTGTGCTAACCCTGGCCTCAGGGCCCTTCCTCTCCTCATTAAGGAAGGATGCTGGGGAGGAGGACGGAGCCTCCGGGGAAGCCAAAGTCCTTCTGGGAACCATCCTAAGGGAAGTGGACGCTCCCGTGTGGTCCTGCCCAGCACGGGACCACACCCGCCCCTGGCTTCAGCAGAGCTTTCGTGCTGGAAAGAATGGGTCTCAGTGCCTGGTCCTTGCAGGAGGCAGGCAGAGGTCAGCACATTCCAGGGCTCCACCTTTCCGCCTCCGAAAGCTCCCTGCAGACAGAAGGCCTGGGCCTCCTCCCAGGCAGTGCTGGAAACCTGAAGTGCACAGGGTGTGTGGGGACCAGGAACCTCTACTCTTCCAGCAGGGCTGAGGGGGGACTGACCTCGAAACCTTACTTCCTAAGAGTGCTTCTGGCCCCCAGACCGCTGCCCACTCCCAGTGCCTGCATCCCAGCCATTGATCCAACTAAGGGCTGTTTCTTTGCTGGTGGACCAGACCTACCAGTTAGAGTTGTCCTTTCTCTCCAGACTTCCTAAGTCCCCTACCTGGTGTCCCCCGGAGGCACACAGGCCTTCTCTGTCCCTCGAGCTCTGCCCTACTCTCTCCTCTGCCAGGAATGCTCTCCCCTCATGTCTTCCCCTTACTGACTCCTGCTCACCCCTTATCCCCATCTTTCCCCTCACATCCCTGGGATGCCTCCATGGACCCCAGGATGGCTAGTCCCTTTATCCCATGTCCTGGACTTTTCCTCCAGAATGCTCCTCACAGTCACAACTAATGACCTGAAATTGAACTCTTGACCTCCCCTCTCCAGCCACAGGAGGACTAACATGGGGCCTGTCACTTGTCCTGCCAGACTAGACACAGCTGGAGCTGCCCAGCTGTGTTGATTGGGCAGACTGAATGTCCTTGCAGTATTGGGGTTGTCAGAAGGTACTGTCATGTGAGCCTGTGCACACCTGGGGTGGGGGGAGGCATGCATGGCCCAGAGAAGGTTCTTGAGGCCAGGGCTGGGCAGGAAGCATTTGGGGATCATACTGAGAGGGCAGGCCAGGATGGGATGGCAAGGGTGGCCCTGGGCATGAAGATGAAAGGGGCGACTCATCTTATCACAGGCTTACAGAGGAAGAAGGGACATGTGGGGGACAGCCAAAGGCAGATTCCCTCAAACCTTCATGCAATGTCACCAGCCCCCCCCCCACTAGAACTTTTTCCTCATGGGGAGGCAGCAGTAGATTTGGGGGCCATGGGCTCAAATCTGCTCCCCGCCCTCTCTGTCCCTCCCCACTGTCCACATCTGTGAAGTGGGAATGGTCAGACCTAACTGACAGGCTTCTTGGGAAGGCGGCTGAGGGAAAGGTGAATCAAATGTCATTTTGCTTTTTCCTTCTTTGCAGAATCACAGGCCAAAGGTGAGGGTTAGAGGAAGGGAGTCCTCCCGGCTTGTGGGAAGCAGTCCCGCTCCTGTGACTCACAGCTCTGGGAAAAAAGCAGAAGCGGATTCCTGAGCCTTTGCAGAGGCGGGGAGAGTTTTTCTTGCCCTTTCTAGCCCCATTGTTCAACAAACATGTACTAAGCTTTTACCAGGGACCGGGCACTGTGCAGGTACCTTGTAAATGCAGATGGAATGACACAGCTCCGCCTTCAGAGGACTCCCTCTCTAGGGCTCAGGGAGGCCTGACCCTTGAATGGGGGCAGACTTGGGAACCAGAGTGCATTTTCTAGAACACCTAATGAACTGTTAGTGTAGGAGAGCCAGAGCCTGGTTGTCAACTATACTCAGTCCTTGGGGACCCATCGAATCCCTGGCTTTCAGTCCTTCTCTGTGTGTCTCAGCCCAGATGCTCTGGCACTCCAGACCCAGAAGGCCAGCTACAATCAATCCTTTCCACTTGGGGCCTACTTGACAGCTCAGACACTTGTCCAAACCTGAGCTCTGGAAGCTCTTTCCAACTTCGTTCCACACTGATCTCAGAGGATGGCAACTCGAACCTTCTAGTCCCCAGGCTAAAATCTTGATCACCCTCTCTTTTCCCCACCTCCCACCCCCCAATCTGTCAGCCAGCCCTGTGGGCTCTACCTTAAAGTAGAGCAAAAACTCATTGATAGTGACAGAAAGCAGGCTGGGACACAATGAACTTTGTGGAGGTGATGGTTCAATGGGTACGTATGTTTGTAGAAACACACCAAATTGTATACTTTATATACAGGTTAATGTATGCCAGGTATAGTTTAGAAAAGCTGTTTTTTTGTTTATTTTTTTTAAAAACAGATGTTTCCAGTGACCTCGGCAAGTAGTCCTAGACAAGTCCCTTCTCTCGTAGCCTTGGCTTCCCCACCTGCAAAAGGAGGGTCTCTAAGGGACCTTCCAGCTGGACCATCTAACCACCCATGGTGTAATCAGCCCCCTCATCTCCCTCTAAGGGAAATGCCTTCACACATCTTGAAGGGAAAGAGTAAGGCTGTGTAGCTCAGGTTTGTCCCAAGACTCTCTGATCCCAGCTCAGATCACTGGTGCTCCCTGTAGAGCTGGCTCAGACCAAATGAGCATCGCTGGGGAATGATGGATGCCAGGAAATAGGGCCAAGTCATGAGGAGAATAAGGAAATGAGTAAATCCATGACTCCACAACTGCCTGGGCTCTCTTCAGGCCCAGAAAACCTCCAGAAGAAGCACAGACATTTTGCCAATATCTGCACTTGATGGATGGGGGAGACTGAGGCCCAGAGAAAAGTCATTTTTCAAGTATACTGAGCTGGAAACTGGCAGAGTCATTACAGAAACGCAGATTGCTGTTAACTGGACTTATTGTGGTGATTGTTTTACAGTATCTGCAAAGATCAAATCATTAGGTTGCACTTCTGAAACGAACATAATGATATATGTCAACTATGTCTCAAAAAAGAAATGCAGGTTGTTGGACTCCCAATCCAGGGCTCAGTCCAGCCCCTCTCCTGGAGATCAGAAGACATGAAGTCCATCCATGGGTCCCTGGGCCTCTATAAGCTGGCTCCACCTGTGGCCTGGGGCTCTGCATCCGGGGCCTCATGGAAGGCTGTGTCCGTTTGTGAGCACCACCCCCCAACAGGGGGAAGGATTGCACAGTGTCGTGTGCCCCAAAGTGCTTCCATTCAGAGATCCATCTGTACCTGCTTCCTTTGGGGGGCAGGAGAGCAAGGCCTGAGAGCCCTAATCTGAAGTAGGTCTCAGGACGTGGGGGTCTGGAAGGTGTGGAGATAGCCATCTGGAACTGAGCACCTGTTACTCGCTCGCACCTCACATCCATCGTCAGAGGTGGGTCTCAAACAGCCCTGTGAGGCTGGGATTGTTAACCCTGTTTTGTTCTGTTTTCTAAATGAGAAGACTGATTCAGACAGCGAAGCAGCTTTCTTTGGCCTCAGAGCTGCTTCTCGGGAACACCAGGGCTGGACTGCAGGTGGCCCCATTCCACAGACTTTCCAGAAAGGAGGAGAAACAGCAGCAATGGCTGCAGAGTCTGGCACTTGCCGCACCAGGCCCACCTTGTCCAAGCCACTGTCTGGACTATTTCAGAAGACTCATCACTGGTGTCTCTGCTTCCTCTTTGTTCTCTTGCAGTCAGTTCTCAGCACAGCAGCTAGAGTGATCCTATTGGAAGGTAGGGCAGGTGACACTCTGCCCCACCTCTGCTCAGAGCCCTCTGGTGGTCCCATCTCTGAGAAAAAAGGCCAAGTCAAGGCAGTGGTCTGTGAACCCAACATCAGCTGGTCACTATTCTTATCCGATTTCATCTCCTGTGCTCTCCTTGCCTCCCCAGCCACACAGCCTCTTTGCTGTTCTTGCAGTGCATCAGACACACTCCTGCCCCAGGACCTTTGCACTTGTTCTCTGCCTGGAATACTCTTCTCCAGATATCCACATTGCTTAATTCCTTCATTCCCTTGAGTCTTTGTTTAAACATCACTCTCTCCGTACAGCTCTCCCTGACCACCCAATTTAATACTGCCACTTGTCCCAGCCCCAGTGTTCCCGATAATCCCACCCTACATCTTTTCTTTTTCCACGGTATTTCGCACTTTCCAATGTATAACACAATTTATTTATTGTTCTTACTGTTTGTCTCCTTTGGAAGACTATAAGCTCCCTAAGGCCAGGGATCAGTGTCTGTTTTGTAAACTGATGAATACCATGCATCAGAGCAGCACGTGGAATGGTGCCTGGGGTAAAGTGGGCCCTTCAAAAACACATGAATTTTTTTGGCGGTCACTACCCTGGAAAGAGTATGGGATTCTGAATTACCTTTATCTGGGTTCAGAGCACTCCTCTAACACTGAGTAGCTGCTTACTTTTATTTCCCGAAGCTCCATTTTCTCATCTACAAAATATGATTTATTTTGAGATGTCATGCACATGCGTTGCCCAGCAGAGTGTCTGGGCCACAGTGGCCATATGAGAGCCGCTGGCAGGGAGAAGTGACTTTATTTAACAAATAAATGTTATGAGATGAAGCTCAGGCAAATTAAATAGGACAAGATTGAGCTCCCACAAACTTGACTGGGGCGTGAGGCTCTTCTCAGAGGAAGTATTTTCTTTCTCCTTGGAGGGAAGTGTTCCAGTCCCAATCGGTGAGTTCGAGAGCACACTGCAGAGGAGTGAGGGGACCAGGTCTCAGCGCTGCTCACTCTCTTCCTGGCAGGGGCACTCAGAGCCACTGGCTTTGCCTCTCAGGTGCCTCAATTATAAAATAAGACAAGAATGCTTTCTGTGCTGACTCTGGGGTGAATTAAAGGTATTAAAGGGGAAAGAACATGGGAACATGCTTTGTGGTCAATGCCTTTATGAGTGGGATGCACAGCTGCTCACACGGGATATGATGCTGGCTGCTTCCAGAAGGTGTTAGGGCCTGAATTGTGCCCTCCCAAATTCTACGTTGCTGTCCTGACCCTCAGTATACCATAGAATGTAACCATACTTGGAGATCGGGGCCTTTAAAGAGGTAATTAAACTAAAATGAAGTCATTAGGGTGGGCTGTAATCCTATGTGGCTGGTGCCTTATAAGAAGGGGCATTTTGGACATGGACGCACACAGACAGAGAATGGCGTGGAGACACAGGGAGAAGACCATCATCTATAAGCCATGGAGAGAGGCCTCCAAAGAAACCAACCCTGCTGACACCTTGATCTTGGACTTCCAGCCTCCAGAGCTCTGAGACAATACATGTGTGTTGTTTAAGCTTCCTACCCTGTTTACTTTGTTACATCAGCCGTGGGACACCGAAAGAGTAGGTCTGGGTGGGATTCATTGAATGTTAACAAGCCCAGAGAACCATGTTGCTCTGCTCCCCTCCCACTCCCACACATGCTGGCCCCAAACATCAGTCTCGGGAGTGCCCCGTGGTCCACCCCTTGCCTCCCTCAGTCCCAGAGATGCCCAGTTGGGTCTTTCTGCCTGAAGAACCTGGGAGCTCAAGAGGGGTCCTGATGGTATCATGGGGACCATCTCTGGGCAAAGACCCTCAGGAAAATACTCTGTCAAGGCTCCATGATGAGGGGGTTTCTGCAAGGGCGTTGGCCCCATTGATTGAGATGGAAAATGCAGCTTCTTCTCTCCTTTTTTCTGTTGGCAGAGGAGAGAAATGTCTGTATTCTCTGGAAAGGGCTGGGCATACATCCAGGGCCTTGTGCCCAAACCCCCTCCACATGCACTGAAAGTCCTGTCTGGGCATGCCAGGCTGTCGGGCTTGGGAGATCTGTTTGTGTCAAGTGGTTGCCTCAAGCTGTGGTGTCTCAGATCCTCCCAGGGAGAGCGCAGGGCTCGGCGAAGCTGCCATCAGATAGCCTTCCCTGCTCTCCTCCCCTCTCCTGAACGAGGCTTATTAAGTCATGAGGTGCCATGGGGTCCACTTGCCTTCCCCAGAACCACCTATTCCTGTCCCCTTTTCAGGCCACGTGTCCCCTTTATATATTTTTTAAATTATTTTTAAATTTTATTTAAATGCAAGTTAGTTAATATATAGTGTAGTATTGGTTTCAGGAGTAGAATTGAGTGATTCATCACTTAACCTACAACCCTCAGTGCTCAGGTGTCCCCTTGAAACTGCTTTGATCAACAGTACAGGCTACAGGTCAAGGAAGTGAGACCCACATAATCAGTGTAGTGAATACTGACCCTCTTGGAAGAGTTTCCAAGTCAGATGCTGGGTACAAATCCTGTTAAACCTTGGTAGAAAGTAGAGTAACAGGAAACAAACAAACAAAACACGTGTTTTCTCGGCCAAACAAGGCTACCCACATCCAGCTCCCCTTAAATCTAGGCCTGCCTGGTGTAACTCTGAGTGTCGGTCTGTTGTCCTGTGAATGTCACACTGCAGCACGCGGTGGGAGGCCATTTCTTCATTTGCCTGGCTCCTGACTTAGGAAAATGGCAGCTCCCAGGCCCCACCCTGGCAGACGCACCCTGTGGCCCGAGGGGAGAAAGCTTGGAATTCCAACCCCGCAGCCTTGCTCCCAGGTGCCCCTGAATTGAAGACTAAAGTTCAGCTGCCCTGGTCCATTGGTGGGGGGAGTGTCAAGCCCCAAAGGAACACATTGTCCTGTAGCGGCACCCGCCCCAGCCGTTGGTGTTTCCGATCCACAGGGAATCCTGTTTGACATAGGACAGCGTTTGGAATCAGACTGCAGCTCTGGGTGTGACTCTTCAGTCTTGACCAAGTATTTTCAGCGAAGGGTTTTGGACTTTTGCTCCATCCGCCATGCTTCTCCATAAGGATGGGTCTTTTCTTTCTTTCTTTCTTTCTTTCTTTCTTTCTTTCTTTCTTTCTTTCAAGATTGTATTTATTTATTTAACAGACAGAGATGACAAGTAGGCAGAGAGGCAGGCAGAGAGAGAGAGGAAGGGAAACAAGCTCCCTGCTGAGCAGAGAGCCTGATGCGGGGCTCAATCCCAGAACCCTGGGACCATGACCTGAGCCCAAAGGCAGAGGCTTTAACCCACTGAGCCACCCAGGCGCCCCAAAGATGGATGTTCTCTAACAGAAGCTGGACAACATGCAGATGTCAAGTTCTATGTCCTCTAATCTCTTTATGCAAAGGATCAAACCCAAATGGGCTTTTTTTGGACAGTTCCAAGAGTGGATTAGCAGCCTGTGACCTCTCAGAGTGACCTGAGACCCCGCTCCCCCACCTTCTATCCTGCTGTCAGCAGAGGAGCCTCCTGGGAAGGGAGATGCCGGAGGAGCTGGCCCAGGTCCCAGCTGTCTGAGGAGTCTCTGCAGCCCCTCAGCAGCCTGAGCTGGGAGGTCCGAGGAGGAGGAAACCACATCTCATGGGGCCTGCTTACATTTGCAGTTCAGAACATGATGCCTGATTTCAGGGGAACCCACTGCCAGGGAATTTCCTTCTCATTGTTGCCTCCACATTGAGGTGAAGGCAAAGAACCAATCAGGAACGTATTTTTGAAAGATGTTTAGGGAGTTTCCTGGATGTCGCCACACATTAGCGCGCTCTATACCTCCTACTTTTGCAGCCTGATCCAGTTGGAGTTCAGAATGGTGCCTCAGGAATCATAAAATCCCGACTAATTTTTTTTTTAAGTTCAATTATGCCTACTAGATGATTTCTTTTTTTTTTTTTTAGGTTATAATTATTTATTTGACAGGGAGAGACAGCAAGAGAGGGAACGCAAGCAGGGGGAGTGGGAGAGCTCGGAGAAGAAGGCTCCCTGCCAACCAGGGAGCCTGATGGGGGACTCCATCCCAGGACCCTGGGATCATGACCTGAGCCGAAGGCAAACGCTTAAGGATGGAGCCACCCAGGTGCCCCACCTACTAGATGATTCATATAAAGTCAGAAAATGAGACCTATATTTAGTAAAGATTTCAGAAAAAAAAAAAAAACAACACCCCACGCTGGACAACCTATGCCTGGTAGGGGTGCCTACTCCACCCTCAGGGGTGCCTGTGTTGACTGACCATGGCCAGCTGCCCCGACTACAGCTGACTGTCCCCCACCCACAGGCAGCTGCTCACCATTGACAAAGAAAGGTCCAGTTTGGCAAATGCTTTACTTTCAGAGCAGTTCACACTGGCTGGATTCCGATGGCCCCTGAAGGTCCTCTCCCAGGGAGCTGTGAGTTGGACACACAGAGCAAGAAGCAGGAGGAGATTCTGAGGAGAGAGAGAGATGGAGAAAGACAGAGAGAAAGCTAGACCCACAGAGATGTGGGCAAGTCAAATTGAGACAATGGCAGATCCACCAGGGCAGGGGAACATCCAGGTGGGGGGGGTTCACCTTGGTGGAATGATTCTCCTGTGCTATATCGCGGGGCTCCTGACAGCTTGGGTTTGCATCCCGGTCCTGCACGTACCAGCTGTAGGACTCCAGACAAGTCACAGCTCTCTCTATGTCCCACACCTTCCTCCTCAAATGGCAGTGATGAGACCCTATTCTACAGGGTTGTTGTGAGTGGCACATGATGATGGCTGCTGGGCCTCTAGGTCATGCTGTGACCCAGCTGGGACGAGTGCTCGATAGAGGCTCACGATCAGCATTATTGCGGCTGCCTTAGTACTCATCCCAAACCACGAATCCAGATGTCAGGGTACTGCAGGAGTCCTGCCTGAGTAGCTCTCCGTCTGTCCTTTGTCTTCCTTTCCAACACCCAGCCAGCACTCCAGCTAACTTGAGCGTGTCTGCGTTTCTTGCAGCTTGAAAGAGTTTCTCTAACTCGGACATAAGAAGAACTGTATTGATTTGCCAGAGCGCTGGTGGCCGGGATGCCCAGTCCCTCCAGCCCTCCATGGTATACACGAGGGAAAACCTGCCGAGTGGTGGCTTGGCCTTTCAAGGACGAGGTCTTGAGTGTCCTTTGGATCAGGGCAAGCACAGTAAAATGCAGTTACAGGGAACAGCCTGGCTCATGGAGGGAGAGGAGGTAGAGGCCATTTCAAGCCTGGCGCGGAGGGAGGGAGCAGTTGTCCCGGCCCCTGCAGGGGAAGAAGGGCACCACTCCAGGGGCTTGCTGTCCCTCAACTTCGAGGCCAGGCCCCTGGCTCTATGTGTGTGTGTGTGTGTGTGTGTGTGTGTGTGTGTGAGAGAGAGAGAGAGAGAGAGATAGAGATTCTATACGTGGTGGGTGTGTAAGGAAACAGTCCTCCGCCCTCAGCAGCCTGGCTGGGCCTAGTGCAAGATGGGGCGGGGCAGGTGGCCTGGCCACCTGGCTGACAGGGCTGTAGTGACAGCCTTTACGAGGCCTGCTGAGTCCCAGGAACCCGAGCCATTCCAGAGCTGCTGACAGAAGACAAGGAATGAGGAAGTCCCAAAGGCTTCTCTGAGTTTTCATTTCAAGAGGCACAGAGTGACCTTTGTCCCCACCATTTGGGCTTGTGTCTCCCTCAGAGAAGGGAAAGATCAAGCTTCACTTTCTTCCAGTTGTTTCAGTTTCAGACCCCCTTGATTAAACACGGAGAAAAGTGGGGGTAGTTATGGCATGACCTGTGCCCAGCCTAAGCGCCTTCATGAGGATCCCGGCCAAGGCTACCGTCATGCAGGGAGACTCCGGCCCAGGAGCCACAATACGCCTGCCCAGCAGACCTGAAGAGAGAGGCTGTGACTCCCAGAGCACTTCCACAGTGGCTGTCTGGGACTCCTCATTCGGACGGCTGAGAACACAGCTCCCGAGAAGAGGGGTGGTTGTGTGTAGTAGCACAGGGATTGGTGCCGGACCTGGGGTCAGAACTAGCTGCCAGGCCTGGGATTGGTGACACACAGCTGGCTGACTGTCCAACATCGGGTAAAGCTGGGAGCAACTCTCCTAACCCACGTCCTAGGAGCCTATGCCAGACAGCATGGCTCCCAACACCTCTGTCCAAGCCACAAAGCCACAAGGGGTACCTGCCTGGTCTTCACTATCCCTTCCTGTTCCATTCAGGTACCAGGCAGGTCCTGACTACTCCCACTCAGGCCACACTCACGCCAGACCCTGGGGTCCCCCCAAGACTTCTCCGCAGCCTGAGTCTCCCACTCTGGCAGAAGGTCCTTCCCATGGGTCTGGCCATGAACAGGCCCAGGTTTCTTTCCGGGTTACCAACCCTCAGCTCCTCATGTCCCCTCCAGTTGGGTTGTGTCTGCCCTCCCAAGTCCTGGGGCTCTGCTGGATAGTCACTGTGGGCTCTCTATTCTCCAGAGCGCCCCCCAAAGCAACAACTCACATGCACACACATGGCCAGACACTGGGCATCTTAGGAACACCTTACCCCATCAGCACACTGCTTGCTTCCCAGTAGCCGGCCCCCCTCCCCCTCTCATGACCCCTGTAACCTGGGGTCATGGCTGAGGCTTACTCCCCCGGTCCCCTTGTTCTGCATTTTTGCATTGCTCTCCTTGAATCCTTGTTCTGCATTTCAAATAAAATAATGATAATCTTTTCCCCATTCACAGAACAACCCACCAGTGAGAGCTATCTCCCTTTTAAGTCTTCCTCGCCTTAAGATTTTGACATCTGTGACCTCAAAGAAACAATAATACATTCGATATAAAGCATCTGGTTTTGGTTTGTCATCCTGGATCTTCACCTTGAATTTGGCTATTGCTTATTTTTATCTCCCTGAAATGCTTCATGTCTCTGAGATGAAATGCTAGTATAAGGACACTTGCTTATAGAATGGTTTAAGTGGACTTGTTCTCTGGGAGGCCACTCAAGGCCCACCCGACCCATGGGCACCCCCAAACTGCATTAGCCTATGTGGTCTGGAGAGACCTGATCAGGCTGGATGCTTGAAACCACTTGGACTTGGCCCCTCATGGCCCTTAACCACCTCGTGCAGGGGGGCTAGATTTATCAAGTAAAAATATCGAGCGCCCATTAAATATGAATTTTCAATAAACAACAAATAATTTTTTTAGTAAAAGTATATTATTCCACACAATATTTGTTTTTCATCAGAAATTCACACGGAATTTTCTCTGGAGCTCCTAACCTGGGGCTTCTATCCACTGGCGTGTGCTGTCCACATCAGAGGCTCTGCAAGGAACCTATAACTAGTCATAAAGAACGAGGTTTGTCAAAGATCTGTTCATGAGGGCAGACTTGGTCATCTCCTGGCATAATGCCCCTCTCTCAGGTCCTACAAAGGGCACGAAGCCTTGGGCCCCTCTTACTGATGCCCAGCTCCCCAGCTCTCCCAGAGGTCAGGTCAGTGCTGTAGCTCAGGTAAGTTACTAGCTGCATAGAGCTCTGAGCTTGTACTGCCATGGGCTCTAGATTTTCTTTCTTTTCTTTTCCCATTCTAAAGACTGAATGTTTGTGTCCCCCCAATTCATATGTGGTAACCTAATCCTCCAGCATGATGGTGTTTGGAGGTGAGTCCTTTGGGAGGAGATTAAGTCCTGAGGGGGCAGCCTTCAAGAATGGGATCAGTGTCCTTATGAAAGGGATCCCAGAGAGTCCCTTTGTCTCTTCCTCTTTGTGAGGACACAGTGAGAAGACAGCAGTCTGAACCAGGAAGTGGGTTCTCACCAGGCAGAATCTGCCAGTGTCTTGACCTGGGGCGTCCAGCCTTCAGAACTGTGAGAGATAAATTTCTACTGTTTCTAAGCCAGGCTATTCTGTTACAGCAGCCTGAATGAACCAAGATACTCAGGAATACACATTTTTTTTTTTTTTTAAGTTGAGGTGTAGTTGACATAGAATATTAGATTAGTTTCAGGTGTATGATGTAGTGTTTTGACATCTATAAATACATTATTTAAGTCTAGTTAACCATCTGTCACCAAAGTTACTGTAATATTATTGACCATATTCCCTATGCTATACGTTACATGGGGATGACTTATTTATTTCATAACTGGAAGTTTGTACCTCTTAATCCCCTTCACCTATGGCAACCACCAGTTGGTTCTCTGTTACCTATGAGTCGGTTTTTGTTGTTTTGTTTGTTTTGGTTTTTAGATTACACATATGTGTGAAATCATATGGTATTTGTCTTTCTCTGTCTGACTTATTTCACTTGCCATAATGCCCTGTAGGTCCACTTATGAACATGCTGTCAGAAAGGAAGAAGAAAAACTGGAGGAGGATGTGTATTTCCACATCGCACTTGGGTGAGGATGACGCAGCGAACTTCTTCACGAGTGATTCCCACGAGAGAGCAGAGCTGGACTCCTGCTATGACATTATCCACGTTAATGACACCATCATATGCATTTGTAAACTAAATAATAAGATTTCTTTATTCCTAGACTTCGATAACCTTCCTAGGCCCTATTAATAATACTTGTGGATTGGAGATATGCCAACAAAAATCAGTGTTTGTTGCAAAATGGTCGATACTTGAAAACAGATTAATCTTGTTCATTTATCCTGTGAAGTGTCACATGTTAGACTGATTTATCCCGTCACATGCCTGTGAAGTACTTTGGGGTGAACTTTTCTCTCAACTACGATGTCCAGAACGTGTTCTGCTTCACTTCCCTACATGGCGTTTTGGGGATGTGTTGACACCTCTGTTGGCCCAGTGAGTGCGGGGAGGAGTCACGGATTGGGCTCCTGCCCACTCCCCTGCTTAAGCGCATCAGCAGCCGCATCTCCCGCCGCAGCAGCCTTGGCTGAAGGAACTGGCAGGTAAACCTGCTTGAACCTCATATTTCTTCTTGTCGTGGTTGCCCTACAGATGCCAGGTCACGAGCTGGATCTGATGTTGAAAGAACAAGCAGGAAAGAGGGGAGGTGCACTGCTTTCGATTTGTGCAGGCAAAGGGCCAAGATGCGGGGAGGGTGGCAGGCAGACCCCAGCCTCGGTGGACTTGGGGAGCAGACTTCCGGCTCTTTCTGCTCTCAGGAGTTCTGCTGCAAGAAGTCATTTTGGCCTCAGAGCCCAGAGAGGAAACCTGGGGCTGTGACTTTGGGTCACGTGGCCCAGCCAGGTAGCACTGTCCAAGCCCAAGTCAGCATGAGCTGGAGCAACATGTAAGGTTTCCCCTCTGGCCAGGGGCCCGAGTGACACTGCCCAAAGAAAGGAGCTTAGTTCATGGGGGTGCTTGAAATGACCTTGGGTGCACAAATTTTAGCATTTTTGTGAATGGTTAGGAATTATTACCATCTAAGCCAGAAAAATGTGAAATTCGATAATGATTTATATACCATAATATGCCATAGACTCCCTCCCTTA